ATCATTACGACTACGTTTACCTGGACAACTTTTGCGACCATTGCTACTACTTCTACTACTACTGCTTCTGCTTGTGCTGCGACCACGACTCCGACTACTATTATTGTTATTGTTGCAACTATTTCGCTTGCTACGACCACTACGGGTACTACCACTACTACTACTAGCACGACTACTACTACGACTACTACTACTGCGTCGACTACGACTGCTACTACTACTACTACTACTACTACTACTACTACTACGACTACGACTATTACCATTACTGTTACTACTACTACTACTGCTGCTACTACTATCACTACTACTTCTACTACTAGTTTTACTACTACGAGTACTACTACTACTACTACTACTACTACTACCACTACTACTACTACTGCTACTACTATTACTACCAATATTTCTAGTACTGCTGCTCCTACTACTGCTACTATTACTACTACGTCTACTACTACGACTACTACGACTATCAATACTACGACTACTTCTACCACTGCTAGTTCTACGGCTACTGCAACTACAACCACGACGACGACGACTAGTACTACTACTACTACTACTACTACTACTACTACTAGTACTACTACTGCTACTAGTACCACCGCCACGATTACGACTACCACTACTATTATTACGACTGTTATTGCTACCATTGTTACTTCGACGACTACTACTACTACTACTAGTACTACGGCGACTGCTACGACTACGGCGACTACTACTACGACTACTACTACTGCTGCTACTACTACTACTACTACTCCCACTACGACTACGAGTGCTACTACTACTACTACTACTACCACCACCACCACTACTACTACTACTACTACCACTACTACTACTACTACTACTACTACTACTACTACTACTACTAGTACTACTACTACTACTGTACTACTACTATACTAATACTACTACTAACTACTACTACTACTACTACTACTACTACTACTACTACTACTACTTACTACTACTACTACTACTACTATACTACTACTACTACTTACTACTACACTGCTACTCTACTGCTACTGCTACTATACACTACTACTACTACTACTACTACTACTACTACTACCACTACTGCTACTACGACTACGACTACTCTACGACTACTAGTGCTACTACTACTAGTACCGCTACTACTACTACTACTACTACTACTACTACTACTACGACTACTACTACTACTACTACTGCTACTACTACTACTGCTACTACTACTACTACTACTACTACTACGACTACTACTACTACTACTACTACTACTACTACTACTACTACGACTACTACTACTACTACTACTACTACTACTACTACTAACATTGCTGCTGCTGCTGCTCTCACGACTACTACGACTACGATGTTCATTCTAACTACGTTATCGTAGTTTCCGTCGTCGTTGTCGTCGTTGCGGTGGAGATGCTTGTTCCTCTATTGTTTGGCGGGCTTGATCATGTGTTCGGCATATTTTTCCAAGGGGGTCATCCATTGTGGGGCTGCCCTACACGCGAGAGGATGTGTAAGCATCTTTTCATGAGGATCGCACTGGGGGCAAGCGGTTGTGGTTGTAGTCGCGTTTGCAGTCTTGGTTGTAGACGTGATTGTAGTCGTGATTGTAGTCGCGATTGTAGTCGTAGTGGTCTTCGCGCGCTTGTAGTCGCAATCGTAGCTATAAAATTTCTCGTGGTCGTAAGCGTCGCCGTCGTCTCGGCGGATAGCATGTTCCCTTTGATTGTTGGTCGGGCTGTATAACGTTGTGGGGCTATCCCCCCAAGAAATAATCCTACCTGGGCAACCTTGCACGACAAAGGAGTCTTGAGCACGTGTGTAAGGGGATTGCAAAATATAGATCGGCACACTCTTCGATGAAGGCGCTGCTCATAATCTCCTCTTTCATGTCGTCGTTGTTGTGTGGCGGGTGCCGCGGAACAATACATATTTTCCACGATTGGTGGGGTCCGTGTCCGTCAAGACAGGCGTCGACAAGGTAATTCGTTTCCACTCGTGGGGGGGGTACTAACGACCTATCCAGGGGATCCAACGAGGGCCCCAAGAGGTTCCCAAGAAAACCCCAGGAGGACCCCAGACGGCCCAAGACAGCCCAAGATGGCGCCACAACGGCTTCAGAAAGCTCCCCAGAACCTCACGACACGCCCAGACAGCCCCAACAGACCGCAGCAGCCCCCGAGAGGGCCCCGACAGGCCCCCAAGAGGCCTCCAAGCTGCCCCAGGCTTGCCCCAGATGGCACCAACAGCCCGCAGGGTAGCCTCAGCAGATCAGGGCGACCCCCCCCTTCCGACGCCGTTTTCCTCGGGTTCCTTGCCGTTTTCCTTCGTCGTCGTCGTCGTCCTTTTTTTTCCCTCCTCCTCCACCTCCTCCTCCTCCTTTGCATCGTCCTCCAGACATCGTCTGATTGGGAAAGTCCTTTGGAAAGTCCTTTGCATCGTCCGTCCTCGGACTCGTCCTCCTCCATTCCTTCCTCCTCGTCCTCGCGTTTCTCTTCCTACTCGTTGTCCTCCTGCTCCCAGCGCTGCCCTCCCCGTCATCCACGTCGTTATCCTCGTCATCCACTGCCTTGTCGCCATCATCATTAGACCGTGTTTTTTTTGCTTGGGGTATGACTGGCGTCATGGCCCCCGCCCCCCCCCCCATGACGTAACGCTCCCCCCTCCCAGAGCGCTCCGGGCAATGCCGCCGTGCGCATCGGGATCCGCATCGGTGTCCGCAATGCCGCCGTGCGCATAGGAATCCGTATAGGAGACTGGTCCGCAGTCGTCGTCGTCGTCGTTGTTGTCGCTCGTCGCTCGTCGCTCGTCGCTCGTCGCTCATCGTCGTCGTGCGCACGGACGCGGCCGGAGCCTGATTTTTTTGTTATACCGGGCCGATGACGGCAACCATTTGGGGGGGGAAGGCGCCGATGACTTCACGTTTCGTGCCAGCGCATTCTAGGAATGCCTCAGAATGACCGAGGACAACAGCAGCAGCATGTAGGTGGCGATCTGCACCACAGCGCCTGTGTACACCACAGTGCCTGCGTGCACCACAGCGCCTGTGTACACCACACCGCCGATGTACACCACAGCAACCGCGTGCAACACAGCGCCAGTGTGTGCCACAGTGCCAGCGGTAACACACTGAATGTGCACACCGCAGCGCCAGCATACACCACAGTAGTCGTGTGTAACACAGCACCAGTGTACACCACAATGCCTGCGTGCACTACAGCACCACACAGGCACCACAGCAACCGTGTGCAACAGAGCACCACGCTTGGCCCGTCTTGGGGCGCTTTCGGGGGCCTCTTGGGCCGTCTTGGAGCATCGGATGGCCGAAAAGGCGACAAGGCCAAAATCCTTCCAAAACAATCGTACAATTTATGATTTTGGCCTCTCGGGCCCTCTTGTGAGGCCTCTTGGAGGCCATTCGGAGGCCTCTTGGGCCGTCTTGGGGTCCTCATCGGCGTCTTGGAGCGCTCTTTGGGCGTCTCGGGGGCCTCTAGGGCAGTCTTGGGGACCTCTTGGGTCAGGAGGGGGGGTAGTCGATTGAGCCCCTTTCCTCGGAGGCCACAATCCTCGTGAGGGGTGTCGAAAAATTGCCCTGTCTGGCATCTGATCCGAGTGTCCCTGGGGTATCCCGGGGGTGTCCCGGGGTACTTTTCGTCCAGGGACCCCCAGGGGCGGCCCCGCGCGCACGAACTAGAATATTGTTAACCAGTTACCGGAGATTTTAGCACGCCCTTGGCCCGTTGGGCCGGCGAATTATCAGCACTTCCTTGGCGTGGCGTTTAGCTGCCCGCAGCAGATCCTCACCGACATGCTCCTTCTACTGGTCCTGTGCACGCAGACGTTGTGGTGTACACCAGCGCTGCCTTGCACGCGGATGCTGTGGTGTCGACAGGCGCCGTGGTGTGCACAGATGCTGCGGTGCACGCAAGCATTGTGGTGTACACAGGCGCTGTGTTGCACATGGTTGCTGCGGTGTACACATTCGCTGTGGTATACACCAGCGCCGTGGTGCACGCAAGCATTGTGGTGTACACAGGCGCTGCGTTGCACACGGTTGTTGCGGTGTACGCAGGCGCTGTGGTGTACACGCGCGGTGTGGTGCACGCGAGCACTGTGGTGTACACAGGCGCTGTGGTGCAGATCAACACGCACATATTTCTCGCGTCGTCGTCGTCGTCGTCATCGTTCGTCGTTCGTTGCTCGTCGCTCATCGTCGTCGTGCGCGCGGGCGCGGGTGTGGTGCAGGAGTCACACGGCGGGGGGGGCGTTACGTCATGCCCCCCCCGCCCCCTGCCCATGACGCCCTTCATCGCAGAAAATAAAGAGACGCTCTCTCACGAGCCCAATGGACAACATCTGCCTTCCCTGTTGTTGGAAGTTGTTATCTGGCTGCCTCTTGAGACAATGTTGCACCATCTTGGCAACCTTGGTTGCCGTCCTGCACCGTCTTGGAAGCCTTGGACAGGTTTCGAGAACCCCAGGGAGGCGCCAGCGCGGCCGCGCGGGTGGAAGCAACGAGCGTGTCCCTCTGTAAAAGAGGTGCAGGCAGAAACCCTACCCGAGAACACTTGGCATTCTGCCACGCTTCAACGTGCCAAGCAGGGGTCACGGTGGGAGATCTGAATTGTTTGAGCTTTTCGGGGGCGTTCTTGATATGTGGACCATCGTGAAGCCATGTTTCGGCCAGTTGGGACCTTGGAGGAGACCATGTTTGGCAGTCTTGGAGGCCATGATGGCCCATTTGGAGGGCCCCTGGGGCCTGGCACTGGGGAGCTCTAGGGCAGAGGAATTGCGTTTGGCAGGTTCCCCCCCGTCCCCCCTTCCCCCGTCAAACACTGATCCCAGGGAGCCAGACTCATGCATTCGCACCCACAAACCCGACAACAGGGGTCGGCGGATTATATTGAACCTTCCCACTGACGCAGGGGCGTCGTCAATATCAGTAAACATTTCGGCTGAATTGTTGGCAGGCCTCTCGGCAGGCGACTGCTTTAACCTGACGGACGGTGGCACCTCAGAGATGATTTGCGCTGCAGGCTTCGGAGGTGTGGGCGCGCCAACTGAGACGTTCCTGCTCATGAACCCCACGCAGTTCGCGTACCCCGCTGGCTCACCGCTCACATACCTGGGACCGGCCTCGACGACGACTTCCGTTATCATGCATGACGACCCGCACGTGTGTTCCTTGAGCGGCGAGTGCTACGACATTCGGCTGCCCTCCAAGTACGCCCTGCTCCGCGTGCCTTCCGACGAGCAGATTCCGCCCGCGTTCGCGATGAGTGCTGACTTGGATACCGACGGCGTGCGGCCGTGCGGATTGTTTGTCAAGCGCATTACGATGAGTGGTTCGTGGCTCAACCATCAAGTTGTGCGGGTCCGCCCCCACACGCGCGATGAAGGCGGTTCCAATTTTGCGGGGGGCGAGGTGCTGACGAATTTTTCGCTGCAGGTGGGTAATTCCTCCTGGATGTCCTTTACCCGCGGGGACTCTCTCCGGCAAGTAGCACTGGTCGGCCAGTTGGTAGTTCGTTTCGTGTGGAGGGAGCACTACGGTCAGCACATGGAAGCACAAAGCCTGGAGTTCTCCGTGGGTGGAGTGAGCCACTCTGCGGTGCTCACCGTCTCGCAGGCGTCGCATCAGGCCCTCAATCTGGAGATGTCGGGCATGGGCCGCCTGGGTTACTCGAGGATGGGGGGGGTGCTCGGCACCGACGGGCACTCGGACTCGATAGAGCAGCCCACCCTCGAGTGCAGGCAGATGGCAGCGTCCTACCAGCACGACATCAGCCAGAGGCAGCAGGTGGACGGGCCGTCGGTGCTGGAGGTTGCGTCCACGCTGAAGGTCTCGTGGGAGTGATTGCGCCAGCCGCGGGGCTGCGGGCGTAAGCTCTCGCCGGTGTCTGCCGCACAGGTGCGCGCCCCCACCGTGGTCTGAGCGATTTGGGCGTCGTGCGGTCTGTCGGCCAGAGCAGGCTGCGCGGTCTGAGCGATCTGCGACAGCTTGTTCAAGTCGAACTGTGAATCACAGGCGCCACATACCTTCTTTCAAGACGCTTCGCGTTCACCGCCCACCCATTCCAGTTCTCGCCGGAAGAGACGCAGACGGCGTTAAGACTGGGTGGCAATATTCAGACTGGACTCCCCCGCACGTGTGTTGTGTGTTTTTCCTGCGCTCCGCTTTTCCTTCATTCCATCGCAGATTGTGCTCGGGTGTGCCGTGTGGCAGGTCGATGTTGAGTTCGTCGATTCGTCGTCGCCCCGTCATCGTTATCAACGGATCAGCGGTATGGACGCTGGCTCTCCGGAGCCCGTATTCTTCATCCAAAGCAGGAGGCCAGAGAAAGCAGGAACGCTGCCCGAGACCAGCCGCAGACGACGCGAAAGAGGCCCCAAAGGCGCCCATGAGGGCCGAAGAGGGCACAGAGAAGGATTCAAAAGGGGGCCTCGAAGGGCACGGGGCGGCCTGGTGGAGCTTCTGGACGGCCCATGCGAGAGCACCTCCGCGTTGGGCCGCAACCCCGTCCGAATTGCATAAAAAACCAGCCTGGTCCGGATCCGGTGTCGGCTCTGCTTTGGGCCCCAAGTTGGGCCCAGCATCATCCAAAAATCGGCTCCAGAGCGAGCACAAAACGTGGTCGAACATCGAACCCAGACGAGCCCGACAGTTTGCTGTCAGACGCATCCGGGCGATCCCTCACGAGACTAAAATCATCAGAACCGAATGGTGCTTGCTACATTTTTGAAGCTTCGAGTTTGTAGGCAACGTTGGGCCCAAGAGGCGCTCTCGAGTGCCCCGGGAGCGACTTCTTGAAGCCAAGAAGGGGGTTGAACCGGTTGCGCTGGTCGAGCAGCGCCACAAGGGATGACCTCGGCGACCGTTGTGTGGCGGTCCCCAATTATGATACGCAACACATGCAATTACGTAAGTATGTAATGTAACCCCACATATATGTAGATAGTGTAACTGGAGAATAGAAGACACCAGCCCAAAGAAGAACTGAAGTACAACATAAACCAATTGATGACACATGTGATCCAAATAATAACCATTGAGAACGGTTATAAACCATGGTAGGAGGAATTGGGTGCCTGTGGTTTCTTGTGTCGGTGGTCCAGCGCACGCTGCCGCATGCTTGCCATAGCCAACACCATTTTTGTCCAACTGGTCGTGGTCCTCCTGATGGTCCTCTGTCGGCCAGCCCAGCCGGCGGGTGAGGTCAGCCGTTGGTATCGCGATACCCTGCCGGAGGTCGGCGCTGGCTGTGCACACCCAGTACATGTGGTCGAGCGTCGGGACGCGGTGCTCACCGCAGTGGTCGCAGGTGGTCGAGATCTCCTCGCCTTGGTTTGACTGCAGCAGGGCGTCCGAGACCACGCAGCCGCAGAGGACGGCGGCGATGTGTGAGGCGAGGATTGGGTTAGCTTTCCGTGCTTCCTGTGCCGCGCGCACGGCAGCAGCTGGGAAGGGCTTTCCGGCCGCCATGGGGCTCTCCCGCCGGCTCCGGCCCTGTAGGATTGCCCATTCGCGGGATCGGAGTATGAGTCGTAGCTCGTGGAGCTGTCGGTCTGTTCTGTCGGTGAGTCGAAGCTCTCCCGCGGGGCCTCTCCAGAAGCCGTCGTCGCTGCGCTCTGCTACAAGTGATGCCAAGTGTGCTCGGTAGGCGTGGAGTGGCCCCCGCGTGTCGGTCTTGATCGTGATCTTGTCCCAAAGCGCAAGTGTTCCAGGCCCCTGTCGACGTAGTCTGCTGCTCAGAAGTTGTAGTGCTCGCCGGCACAAGTGGTACCGTAGGTCGGCGCTATGCTCCATTACTACCTGTCGAAGTAGTTCGGGAGCTGCCCAGGGCCATTTCCGCAGGGTCACAGCCTCTTCGTGCTTGTTGTAGATGTTTTTGGATAGCTCCTTTTGCCGGTGGCGTCACCACTAGTGCCCAGCTCGACACCGGCAGCGCGACGGTGCTCACCGCTGTCGTGCGCAGCCGCATGCTCAGGGGCAGGCACGCAATCCGCTTCACGCGGGCAAGTGCCTCTTCAAGCTTGCCTCGCTCTCTGGTCGTGAGCGTCGTGCGTTGCAGCGTGAAGTCGATTCCGAGGCATTTCATCTTCTCGCTCTGCAGGTGGTGGTTGTCACACTGGCGCGGTACGATCGTGAAGGACTGCGTCTTGCTGTCGTTGGTGCGCAGCGCGGTGACCGACTCCAGCAGCTCCCACTCCTCCTCGATGCTCCGTAGTTGTTCTGCCTCTGTCGTGGCCGCCGCGCGGTCGTCCGCGAAGGTGCGAAAGGTTGCTCGCGGGTGTAGAGCAGCTTGCCGTCGTAGTGGCCCCATGAGCAGGGTGGCCATCCCGAGCATGGCTGCCGGATCCCCTTGTGGCAGACTGTCTTCAACCAGAATTGTCCGTGGTGTTAAGAGCGGGCCGACCTCAACCCGCCTCTCCTGCTTGGTCCAGATCGCTTCGATACTGATGGTGATTCTGGACGGTACTCCGAGTCGCGACCAGGCCTCGCAGACGATCCGGGGGGAAGCCCTGTCGAATGCGGAGGCATACTCCCGCGTCTCGACGTGCAGCTCCGTTTGACGTTTCCGAACCAGCCGCTGCTCTTCCTCGGTCAGCGAGCCGTCCTCGTCGTCGTACCTGTTCGCCGCGATTGTCTCCTCAATGAGAGAGAGGCATGGCTCGATGAGGGATTCGAGGGTTCGCCCTGTGAGACCGCCCCCCTGCGTGGGCAGGAAAGCTGGGCTGAGGTAGGTGGCCAGTTAGTCAGCCCTCCGTCTGTGCCAGGCGCGGACCACGGCGCTCGCGATTGCGATAGGGCGTAGTCGGGTCAGGTTCGGGAGTGCTGTGTCTGGGTCTTTTGGGAGGTGGACCTGGCGCCACTGCAGGAGTTGCGACGGCCATCCGTGGTATTCAGAGTATGTGCAGAGGTCAACCAGCTCTTCCAGTGCCTCCTCCGGGAGAAGCATGAGCTCCGAGGGCGCCCATTGGTCTGGCCCTGCTGCTGTGCCTCCGTGTAGCATGTGGCGGAATTGCGCTGCCGCCGGTGGCGCCCAGTGGCCCCAGCAGCCAAGGGCTGCCGTGGCGTGTCGTGCTCTATGGTCGTGCTGCTCCTGTGTTCGTTGAACATCTTGGCATGCCTCCTCAATGTAGTCGTCGTAGTGGCAGAAATACCCGCCCACATCGTTGCCACGGCCGCATTCCCTGAAGTGCTGCTCATAGTGGTCACGTTTTCTTTCCACCGCGTCTTGTGAAAAGTAGTTGGTGGGCGTGGAGTCGTCGTGTAGTTGCAAGTTCCCGCTGTCATGGTCGCTCTTGGTGTCGTCCTGCACCGCTACGTTGTGGTAGGTGCTCACTGCGTTCCGGATCCAAGCTGCTGTGTTCTTCCCAAGACCGTCTGCCTGGAGCCTCTTCCGCCAGCATTTGACACGCTCGTTCTTGCACCCTTGGATGGCCTTGCCGAGCGCTTTGGTAGTTTGTTCGATGGTTTCTTGGTCGTCGTCCGGCTTGGCGCCGCCCGTAGTCTTTTGCCACAACTTCCGATCTTGCCGTTCCCACTGTGCTATCTTCCCGGCTGCTTTCCGCCCTCGCCGTGCCGGCGGGGACCGGAGCCGTTGGCTGAGTTGCCGCAGTTGCCGCGTGTGCCGGGTCCAGACGTCGTCGTCTTTCTCCCTTCGCTCCCACTGGGCAAACGAGAAGTCAGATTTAGGGACAGCGCCCTTGGTCAGGACCACCGCGGGTGCGGATTGTAGTACTTCCTCTGCTCGTGCACTCCAGTCCGTCCACCACTCGTCCACGGTGCCGTCATGGATGTCGTAAGCAGGTAAAGCCCTCCACTGGGCAGCCAGGCCCTCCACGATGTCCCCATAGGTCGGTGGTGCTGCGTGGTGCTGCGTCTGCGCCATGATCGCGTGCTGGATGTTGTTGTGGGTCGTGCTGCGTTGTTGGTCTGCTCGTGCTTTGCGTCGTGGTCGTGCTTGCGGTGCCTTGTGCGTCCGCTCGTGCTGCGTCTTGAGTCGGTTTCAGCGTACCGTACCGTGCCGCACGCCGCCACGAGCATCCGGCAGTAGGTTGTGGCGCGTCGAACTGCGCATCCACTGTCACCAACTTATGGTCGGAGACTGCATGTGTATTCGCCACCGCCCTGGTAGTTGTCATAGTTTTCGTGGCCATGAAATAGTCGATATCCTGGCTCGATTCCCACCTCGTGGACTCTCCTGGGCTCTGGACCCGGAGCCCCAGTAACCGTGCAGTCTCGGTAATGATGGGATCTTCCGGCGTAGTGTTGTAGTCGCCAGCGATCAGCAGTGGGAGCCCCCCTCCTATCGTAGCGTGCTGTTCTGCCATCCAATGTAGCATACCATTCCGTGCGTCGTCGTCGTCGGTCGCTCGCAAGTGTACCACAGCCAGCAGTGCTGTACGGTGAGCTGTGTGGATGTGAAAGATGGCACTCTCACGCCCAGCTCCAGCCCCTCCAGCGCCCGTCAGGCGCTCAGACGCGATCCGGGTGACCCGGACACGGCCCGTCGTCAGCACATCGATGCCACCACATTCGTCCCGTGTTCTACCACTTTTCCCGGTACCCACCACATGGTCGTCACAAGAGGTCCCACTCGTCCATACGTACCCGTGGTCAGCAGCGAGCTTGCCTGCCCTGGTATGTCTGCATGCCGGCACCAATGCTCCTGCAGTACCAGCAACTCCAGTTCCAGCTCCTCGGCGGTAGCAAGAAGGTCCTTGCCATGCTGTGCCCAAGATGCGATATTGATCGTTCCCATCTTTATTGGTGTATTGGAGGGGGAGGGGGAGGGAGGACGGACGTGGGATTGGTCGTCGTGGCGGTTGGCTCCGCCTCAGCAGCGCCCGGCTGCTTTCTTCCATTCCCGTGCCTCCCGCTTTCGGCGCAGCCGCTCTGCTCGGGGCCGGATTTGGTGGACAGGCAGTGGAGGCAGGATTACTTGGCTCTTGGCCCTCTTGCCCCGCTGACCTCGTGTATCCAGCATGCCGTCGGGTGACTTCTTCAGCAGAATAGCCCTTTGCACCAGGCACCGCCATTGTTGGTCGTCGTACTCGGGGTGCTCCTTCAGCCGGTGCTCCCGCCGGATTTTCCTGTACGTAATTGTGTTTTTCGAGAAGGGCTGGCAGATGTCGCACACTGGGCACGTCCATGCGACCTTTTCGTCGGGCACGTCGTGGGACAGAAGCGGCACTTCAGCTGAAGGTCGGTAGTTACCAGCGTCCTGCCAGTTTTCCCCAGGGTGCCATTTCCATAGGTGCTTCGCCCGCTCGTGGGTGATGTGGTAGTTCGGGTGGACTTTCCGTGGCTTCCTGATCTGTTTCTTTCCCTTGCCCTTCCAACTCCATCCCACGGCGCGGGGCACGGTGTTGACAGGTGCCGTGATCGTGTCGCCACACAAACCGCACGTCCACGTTAGGGGTGTAGCTGCGTCGGTGCATGTGATTGTTTTCTTGGGAGGTGGTGGTCTGGTGCTGCTGCTGCTGCCGCTGGCCCGGGCCTTCGGTGTCGCCTTGCTGCCACTCACGGCCCCCTTCGGCGTCGAGCGTCGGGTCGGTGTATCTTTGGGCGTAGTCGCTGCTGCGCTCCGCGTAGTGCGCGGCGTGGTAGGAGTGGATCGTCGTGTCGTACGTGGAGTCGCTGTGGGCCCCAGGTCGCCGAGCCACGAGTCCGGCGTGTCGGGTTGCTTCCGCTTCCTCGAAGACCGTGTCCGGGCCAAGGTCGCCATCCAGGAGTCCTCGGAGTCGGAATCTCTGTCTGCTTTCCGTGTAGAGCCACCGTGTCGGCAGATCTTGCGGATGCGTTCCTCGAGCTGTGCCTTGCTCGGTCGTTTGGTCTCCTTCTTGTGCCTGGTGCCGTCGTCTGGCAGTAAAATGTAGCAGTGGTCTTTCCACAGGCCCACGTGGAGGGGAGGCTGCAGTAGTGCTGCTCGCTGTGCGTCCGGAGACTGTGGGATCCAAATTACCTTGTCTACCCAGTTGACGTCCTTGAGCTGAGCACCCACCCCTGTGTAGGTGTAGATGTGTCGGTTGAAGTGGTCGCATGCCGCCTGGTAGGACAGCCCGTCGATCCACCGCTTCGGTCTTTTACACGCTGCGGCGTATTCCTCCCAGGGGGTCGGAATAGCCCCGTCTTCCTTCCCCTCCCCCAGGGGTACGTGGGCCCAGTAGTGTTGGAAGAACTCCTGGTTGTTGCTGATACGCAGTGCAAGTTGCGTTCGTAGGGTCTTCGCCATTCTCTCGAGCTTGGCAGGGTTCAGCGTGTTCTCCCGCGTGGCCTTGGCGACTCCCCCGAGCAGAGCCCAACCCGCAGCCAGGGCCCGGTACCCGCAGTCGCCTCCGTTGGAACCGGGGTCGATGGCTTCGAACGGGTTCTTCCGCTTGGGCGGCGGCTTCGCGGCGGGCTTAGCCGCTGCCTTAGCTGCTGGCGCGGCCGCTGGGCCTGCAGTCCCTGGTAGCTCTGCCGGCGCAGCCGCTGCTTCACCCCGGGCTTTCTTGATCCTGTCACGGACTTTAGCGTCTTCCGCCTCCCGTGCGGCTGTCCTCTTGGCCCTCTCAGTGGTCCGGGTCTCCTCCGCGAGGCCGTCGAGGTCCATGTCCTCCTGGTCGTACCGTTCCTGTCGTTTCTGTTTGTCGGTAGTGTACTCGGCGTCCAAGTCCACGTCCATGTCGTGCACCCCAGGTACTGCCACGCCATCGGGTGCTGCGGGTGAGGCGGGCGGGTCGGCACCCCACCGCCATCGCCGAGTCGTCGTTGGTTGTGTTGTCTGGCCTCCCGCGCCGCGCACGAAGCGTTGGATATGGGTGGCTTGGTCTTGTCCTCTGAGTGTGATAGCCCAGGCGTCGACGGTGTTGTCGCTTCCGGGGCGGCGTGGGTGGGCCCGGACGACCCATGGCCCGTTCTTGTTCTGTGGCGGTGATTCAACCTCTACTTCTGTCCACCCGGCTGCTCCTAGCCAAGTTTTGAGTTCGTGGGCTGTCCATGTACGTTGGACGTGTAGGATCCGCCATGCCGCTGGTCGGGTCGTAACTGCCTGCGCGTCGTCCACGTCGACTCCCACCACACCAAGGTTGTTTCCTCCTCCATTCCGGAGGACTATTGATGCATTGGTCGTTGAGGCCACCAGACCTTGTACACGGCGATAGTAGTCGAGGCTCGCGTCGTCGAACCGTTTAATCCAGCGGACTGGTGTGTCTGGGCCCGAGCGGTCCTTCGCAAGCACCCTGTAGAAGCGGCCGTGGGCTCCGGAAGCGGCGAGCATTGGGGCCAGCCCAGCCGCGGCGACCGTGAGGTACCCAATCAGGGCTACCAGTTTTCCTGCTTCGAGGACCTCAGAAAAGGCTTCCGCCGCCAGGATGGCGTCCTTATCGAGATCTCCAGTCGCCACGGCGCCGGGCCGCTGGCGGGCCGTCTTCCATTGCGCGTCTGTCATGAATTCCTTGACCATTGTCACACGTACCGTGGTCGTGGCACGTACAGCAGGCGGCTCAGGGCCTTCCACTTCGTGCTTCGGTGCGTCAGCCTTGGCCCCTTGAAGGGTGGTGCACTCCAGTTTCTTCATGCTCGGCCGCCTCCTTTGACGACCGCTACCCACTGGCATGTGTCGTCGCCGTTAGCTGCCGTCGTTTGGTCGTTGTCAGGTGTGTCAGACCAATCACGGTCATGCTTTTCTGTACCCCGTGTATTTGGGCCCGTTCTACCGCCTCCTGCTTCTGGACCGTGTTCAGCACTACAACGTCGCCGTCAGGTGCCCGGCCTTCTCGGAGAGCGGTAAGGACCTGCGTGGCCCCAGAGAATTGCTTGCCAGGGAAACGTCTTTCATCCACTTTCCACCTCCGGGTCGGAGCCGGCTGGTTGGAACCAGTGTCTGGTGAGTGCTGACCTGTGGCTGTGCTCTGGTTGGCCGCATCTTTTCTCCATCGCCCTCTACGCGGCGGTGTGGTCGTGGGTGGTTGGGTCCTCCGAGCGGCGAGGAGCTCCTCTAGTCGTTCCAGGATTGCTTCGTCGCTGGTGTTCTTGGGTGCCTGTGCCACTGCTTGTTGCAGAATGGTCAGTAGGCTAGTGTTTGTGGTCGGTGCTGGTGCTGGTGCTTGCGCCGGTGCTGGTCCCGGTGCGGCTGTCCGTGGCGGTGGACCTCGGGCTTTTGTCTGTTTCTTCTTCTTTGTTGGTGGTTTGTCACTGGCCAGGATTGCGGAGACGATGGATGCAATCTGCTTCTCTCTCCGCTGACGTGCGGTGGTTCGGCTGCCCCCTTGACCCGCGTCGCGCCTTGTCCCAGCACGAAAGTCGAGTCGTCCATCACACAGAGAGTACGATAGCTCGCTGGCGCCGGCCTCCTGAGGCCCCTGGTCAGATTTTGGTGATAGCTCGCTGGCGCCGGCGTCGTTAGGCCCCCGGTCAGATTTTGGTAAGGACCCGACCCACGGAAAGAGTAAATCCGGACGCACGGGTGCTTTGTGATCGTACGGCGTCGTAGCGGCAAGATCCGGCATAATTGTTGCGTCACAATCGGGAAATATACGGATAAGATTACCATGTCGGTCTTCTTCCCATATCTCGTGGGCCGCATCACCATCCTCATCAACTTGCAACGGCTGGGTGTCCGTCTGAATCCTTCCGGAACCGTCGGCAGCATCCATGATGAGTGGCTGTGCTGTGTCGTCGTGGGACTGCTTGTGCTGTGCTGCGTCGTCGTGGGTCTGCGTGTGCTGTGCTGCGTCGTCGTGGGACTGCTTGTGCTGTGCTGCGTCGTCGTTGGACTTCTTGTGCTGTGCTGTGTCGTCGTGGGTCTGCTTGTGCTGTGCAGTGTCGTGCTGCGTCGTCGTGGGACTGCTTGTGCTGTGCTGCGTCGTCGTGGGTCTGCTTGTGCTGTGCTGCGTCGTCGTGGGACTGCTTGTGCTGTGCTGCGTCGTCGTGGGGCTGCTAGTGCTTTGCTGTGTCGTCGTGGGACTGCTTGTGCTGTGCTGTGTCGTCGTGGGACTGCTTGTGCTGTGCTGCGTCGTCGTGGGACTGCTTGTACTGTGCTGCGTCGTCGTGGGACTGCTTGTGCTGTGCTGCGTCGTCGTGGGACTGCTTGTGCTGTGCTGGGTCGCACTCCACAGCCGCAGGACTGCTCGTAGGATTGCTCGTGGGACTGCTCGTAGTCGTTGGATTGCTCGTCGGGCCGCTCGTGCATCGTCGTACGGCTGCCGCTTGCGAGCCCCCCTCTTCCGAGCCTTCCGAGTCTTCCTCGCCTCCCTCCGGAACCCCTTCGGGGTTCGGAGGACCCGGGTCTGGAAGCTCGTGTCCCAAGGGCCGTGTGGCGCAGGTCGGGCCCCTCCCCTCCCAAGGGCCACCCGCACACACACCACCAGAAGAATTGTAATCACCCAGAATCGGTAATAGTGAAACCAAGAGCAAAGTATTGAAAGACCCTGCAAGTATTGAAGTGGCTCGCCCATCGAGCTACTTGTAGCCCCTACCCCAGGAACCAAGCATAAGACAATGCATATCCAGAGTAAGGTTGAAATCTGCACCCGGTCATAAACCAATTGATGACACATGTGATCCAAATAATAACCATTGAGACCTTGCAAGTATTGAAGTGGCTCGCCCATCGAGCTACTTGTAGCCCCTACCCAAGGAACCAAGCATAAGACAATGCATATCCAGAGTAAGGTTGAAATCTGCACCCGGTCATGTCTATGTACCCGTGTGTGTAAAGGCAACATCACAAGCACAAACACAAACACAACCATGATTGAATTCTGCCCAAAATATCCCTCCCCTGCCTGTCTAGTAGATTTCCCACTGTCAGTTGTAGGGGTGGGGGTTGGGTGAAGGTTCTGGTGTTGCCCCCTCCCCTCCACCTTATCATGCATGTGCATCAATTGCAACGTTAAGAGAACACGACGCTTGCCCAACCGTAGTCGGGCGCCCGGGAGTCGGGAGTCGGGGTCGGACCCGACGTGGACCGTGTTCTCGTTCTCCGTCTTGAAGCCAAGAAGGGGGTAGAACCAAGCTGTGTCCCCAATCCGTAGGCGTGCGAGGACACCACGCAACTCGAAGAGCTGCGGCGACCGTTGTTCAGGAGCGGTCCCTCCCGGCCCCACACGTAACGTCAGCGCATAGCATCACATGCAGATACGTCAAGCATGTTATTTAATCCCACAGATATGTAGGGCCCCCGAAGGGGTCAAAGCGGGGCGCCCATGCGGGCCGAAAGCGTATCGGGAGCGGTCTGAAAGTCGAGCTCGTCTTGGACGCCGTCTGGCAGGCGTCTTGGGGCCCTGAAGGGGCATTGGCGTAGCCAGGCGGCGGAATGGCGGAGGGCTCTGGTGGAATGAAAGGGGGGCTAAAGATATACAAGGAGCACTTACGTTCCACGCGCCCCTCAGCCCAGTGGGCGGGCGGATTCAAGAGGCTTTCGCCGCCATTCCGCCGACCTCCAGAAGAGGGATGAAGTTCACGGGTGAGGCTTTTTGGAGGACCTTTTGGGGACCTCTTGTGGGCGTCCTGGGGGCCTCTTTAGACCTCTTGGGAGTTTCTTGGGCGTCGCTAGCGGTCCCTGGGGTCCTCTTGGGGCGGAGGGATCGGAATGTCAGGTCGAGTCACCATGAATCACCTCTCTTGGGCTCCTCTTGGGGCCCTGTTGCGGCTCTCTTGGGCCATCGTGGGCGCCTCTTGGGCAGCCTTGGGGCCTTCTTGCTTGGGAAGTCGGGGGCCTTCATGGGGCCACTTTGGAGCGATTTTGGAGCGATTTTGCGCGCCTATTGGGCCGTCTTGGACGTTTCGAAGATGGAAATAGCGAGTGTGCAAGAATGTACGTTTTCGTGTGCAAATGGGACTATGTTTGTTTGTCGGGACCCGCTTGGGAGTCCTTTGGGAGCCCTCTTGGGGAGTCTTGGGTGGCTCTTGGGCCGTCTTGTGGCTACCCTGGGTCTTTCTGAAGCTTCCTCGACGCGTTGGCGTTCAGCTGGAGCAAATTTAGATGGAATGTTAGGCATCGTTGGAGACGTTGGAGGCCCCGTGAAGACGTTGGTGAGCTCGTCCCCACCCTGGGGGGGGGCTCAATTTGGATTTTGGATGTTGGGGCAGGGGGACAGGGGGGGGACAGCCAATCATCTCACCCGCCTTGTCACCCCCGGAAAGCGGAGGTCGGCGGATCTGAAGGGCCTCGTCTTTCGCCGCCAGCCCCCAATATGATTGCTTTCATGGCTACGCTTGTTCGGTTGGTTGTTGCTTTGGTTTGTCGATGGGCAGGCTGGCAACTCGGCTGGTTGTTGTGGATGGTTGTCTACATACATGGTTGGCAGTTGACTTTGGCTGTCTGCTAGTTGGCTGGTTGCGCGCATGTGGCGTAATTGACAAGGGGGTGTGGCCTCGGGAGCGCGCACGCGTCGTTTTTTGCAAGTGGTTGTTGCTTCGGGAGCGCACATGAGTCGTAAGCATTGGAGCTTCGCGTTTTCCCCACCAGCCCATCCAAAAAACGATGCACAGGCGAGTTGCATTGATCAGGGGAGTGTGTACGCAGTTGAACAAAGAGGGGGTCAACCGTCAAAGCGAAGATCGGGATCAGCCCGAGCAGGCCCGGAAGCCCACCAGAAATAGCTTTCGCGGATATTTCAATGTGGGAGCCTCTTGGGGGCTTATGTTGGCCATCTTGGGGCCCTCTTGGGATAATTTTGGTGGCCTGTCGCGCTCTCTTGGGGCCTTTTTGGCGGCCTTGGGGCCCCTCTTTGGAGCCACTTTCAATGTTATAAATCAGAGAAGGGGGCGGAGCAACTATTGCGGCCCCCCCGCCGGATGCCGCACAATCGCATATTGGGGCCCTCTTGGGTGCTCTTCGGGCGCTCGAGGGCGCGCTTGGGGCCGTCTTGGATCCCTCTTGGGCATCCCGCAATGGTGTGTTGGGGCTTCTGAACATGCGTGTTTTGTGAACGCTTGGAAGGGGGGGGGGTTCTAACCCAGGGGGGGGTCCCCCCCGGAACTGCAGGGGGGGGGGGGGTCGAACCAGGGCCCCACCCTCAAGGGGGAGGGGGGAGGAGGTTCAAACCAGGTGGGGGGGGGCCTGAAGTACAAGGAAGAGGGGGGCTTCGAACTGCTCCCCCCCCCCTTGCAACCGACGACGGCGAGCGCCGGCGCCGTCGGGCAGCGACGCATTCGTCGACGACGACGACGTGCACGACGACGACGAGCGAGTCTTGATTGAATGCTATCAAGGCTGGGTCGAGCCATGTAAAGATTACAGTGGAGCTGAATCGAACCCTTTTAAGATCAATAAGAGTTTGATCTAGCTATAGTAGGATTTCAGAAGATTTGGCTCAAGCCATGTTGGCTCAAGCCATTTGGCTCAAGAACTCAAGAACTCCGGCGGTTCTTTCGCTGTCGAGCTCCTTGCTACCCTCCGCACCTCAGCCATGGCCGGGATCGAGGCGGCTTTGAAGCGCATCGAAGCCAGCATGCAGACCAAGGATGAGGCGAAGCAGAACGTGGATGACTTCAAGAATTTAGTGACTAAGTTGACAAAGGAGTTTGATGCGAAGCTCGAGGAGTATAAGAAGGAGTCCGATAATAGGCATG